TCTTTTTTTTTTTACTTTTATTCTATATTTAAATTTTAATTATTTCAAATTTTAAATTTAGTGTTTAAATTTGCTTATAATTTTTATTTATAATTATATTTATTTAAATTTATATTTACTTTAAAATATTGTTTTACCATTATTTTCAGTGAAAGCGTACAGTATGAAGTGAGAACATATAGGTATTCTATTTTGATTCGTACGGATAATCTGTAGCCTTCAATATGAATTGTTATAGGCTTGAAGTATTTTGTATTTTGAAGTATTAGCTTGTGAACGTTATTATTGTCTATATGTAAGATAAGTATTATTATATGCACTTTTTGGGGATGTTCTGAATGTTGCTTGTCTCGATCATCCTTAGAGGCCACGGTGTAGTAAGGTGAGATACATTCATATCTCTCTCTTTGAGGAAAGCTTCTAGAGAGAATGAGACGGTTGCAGATGAGACGCTGCTACGTGCTGTTCTCCACCCGTTTGTATTAGCACATTGATCGAGCACGTACAGCATATAGAATGATTTCTATGAGACAATTTGATTAAACAACGTGCAAACTTATAATTTATTTTTTATTTTTACATTGCATTATTTCTCATCATATTATGTATTAATTAAGAATGAAATAATTATGTTTTATGTTGCTAACCATTTATGGAATCCAAAACAAGTTATTTCTTCTTCTGCATAATGTGATTTTTGTGACTCTCATGAGATTTTAAACATATTGTATTTGACGTAAATTGCAAAGTAACAAATTGTTAATGCTTACGTATGTGAAAAAAATTTCGAGTCTTGTTTGAAATATTATTGGTAAAACAAAATTTGTGTTTTGCCATAATTTTCAGAACTACTAAATGTGAAATCACATTAAATTATTATTAATCGTGTTTATTTATAATGGTCTACAAAGTATATTTTGTGGTCTATATTATATATTTTTTATATAGAATGAGAAATACATAACGAAATAAAACCTAATGTGAGCCAACACGGATGTTGGTGTGTAAAATAATTTTATTGTTACAATATTTTTTCAATTTAAATTTATTTATTTTTTATGATTTAGTTTAGTATTTAATTGGATAATTGTTGCAGTAATTCATATACATATTTATGTATAATGTTTATGATAATTGTCAATGTTGATCAGTGGTATCAGTCACTGTTTTGAAAACTTGAGACGTTCAATAATAATATTTCATTCTATAATATATATATATATATATATATATATATATATATATATATATTCTAAGTGTACGATAGAATAGTATAAATTATTACCAAGCATTTATTGAATAAAATATTGCAAAATACTGCAAATGATAGACTGCACTTATTGGAAATGATGCCGCGCAAGTATATCATATTATATGTATATCACATTATAAATTATCGTAAAATATTCGAAACTAGAGTATGATGATGATTATTAATGACACGGTAAAAACCGGAAATGGTTTGAGATTAAGTAGCAGTTATGTGCAACGAAATCAAAAACTCTTTTTTACTTAACGAGACATTTTTCGTTCTTTCTCCTTCTCTCTCTCTCTCTCTCTCTCTCTCTCTCTCTCTCTTTCTTTCTCTCTAGGACACC